ATATATATATATATATATATATATATATATATATATATATATATATATATATATATATATATATATATATATATATATATATATATAAAAATAATATTTTTCGTTTTTTTTTGTGCTCATGCATGTTGCGCTCAGTTTCACATTCATTAGGATGTACAAAGAATATGCGTGGGATTCGGCATACGCAGTGTTTCATACATCTGAATTTTTTTCTGCGTACGCACATTTACAGCTTTGTGCGTACGCAATGTTTTAGTATGATTTCCACGCAAGTCTTCGTACATGAGGCCCCAGGTCTGAATCCTCCATATTTGTACACTCAAGTTAACCAGGGCTGCCAACTTTGGCTAACTTTGGCCCTTAAGTCCCGCCCACATTTGTTTTAGAAAAGCGAACGTAAATTTAAGAAGCGTAAACGAAACTTTAGTTTACTTGAAAATCATGGTTGTTGTCTGGTTGTTCGGTGTTTGCGATCGTCCTTTGTGTGGTGTGATAACATGAAAATAGTGCCATTTGCGTGAGTCTCACTGAGTTAACGCTGGTGATTGCAGTTGGGAGTGTAGCTTCTGTTTCTATGGTTTTGGCGGCAATTTAGTAATATTATTATGGGCCAGACACTCATCGCCTGAAGTATTCCAATGGTATTTGGAAAGTAACTTTATTCTTAATACCCTGTTTAAAAATAGTAACTATAACGGAATACAGTTACTCATGAATCGTATTCTAAATACGTACCGCCGGTACATGTATTCTGTTACTCCCCAACACTGCTATTAATTTATTTGTGGACAGCTCTTGTATTGACCGATCTTCATCGCATGTCATAATTCACTCATCTAATTTAGACCTCATGTGACTTTACTGTAATGGTATCTTAATTCTCCATCTGAATTCCATCATGAATATGTGTGGGTATGTTCCGACATAACCACTGACAAAACCGTAGCCTTACTGTCCTGTGACTGCACTGACAAAAGTTAACGATTGAGTTAAAAAGATGGATGAATCAGTCCACTGTTGACTCCTTTTCCCCTGAACTCTGAGGATAAGGTTGGCATGCTTGGAATACTTGGTTTGTTTTGGAAATTAGATCCGGGGAGAGGGCAATTTTTGCTAAATCATAAACAGTTTAATCTCGTTAATGAGGGTTTTCTTAAGGTAATTCCAAACGCACACAAGAATATAGAGATGTATATTGTGTAAAGCAAATTATATTGAGTTGAGTACAATAAGGCCATTCATTAGTATATGCCATGGGAAATGTTGAGGAAATCTGAGGTTAATTTTGAGGAAGGTTTTACTGTGGTAAAACATGCATGCGATAAGAAGTCAAATGAATTGTAGAGCTAATTGAATTGCTCAGGGAAGATGGATAAATGTTTCCCCTTGGTTATCCCACATGTTATTCAGTGTAAAATTAAGCCCAAGATGAGCTCATGTGTTTAGGAGAGAGGTCAAAACCATGCCACATTTCTGTACTGTAAGTCACTTCTTTGTCACATGTAGAAATGGCAAAAGTACACAAATCCTTTACAAGAAGAACAGATCCTCATGTTTAAAACGACTCGGTTATAAGTTGAAGTAATGATTACACTTTTGTACTTAAGTAAAAGTAAAGAAGTACGGCATCAAAAATGTACTTAAGTAAAAAGTACCCATTACAACTACATGTTTTAGTTTCACTTGGGAAATATCTGGTTACCCCCAAGTATCAACATCCTGACCCATACAGCGTTCAGCTTGTAGTTTTGCTGCAGTTGGATCAAAAACAACAGCTGCCATTCATGTTTATATACTTAGTGTCTTACATTTTACATTGAATTCTGTGTAATATATATATATATATATATATATATATATATATATATATATATATATATATATATATATATATATATATATATATATATATAGAGATATATATATATATATATATATATATATATATATATATATATATATATATATATATACACACACACACATACATACATAGTTGAAGTCAGAATTATTAGCCCCCCTGAATTATTAGCCCCCTGTTTACATTATTCCCCAATTTCTGTTTAACAGAGAGCAGATTTTTTTAACACATTTCTAAACATAATAGTTTATATTAATAGACATTTTTCAAGACACTTCTATACAGCTTAAAGTGACTTAAAAAGGCTTAACTAGGTTAATTAGTTTAACTAGGCAGGTTAGGGTAATTAGGCAAGTTATTGAATAATGATGGTTTGTTCTGTAGATTATAGAAAAAAAATTGCTTAAAGGGGCTAATAATTTTGTTCTTAAAATGGTGTTTAACATTTTTAAACTGCTTATATTCTAGCTTAAATAAAACAAATAAGACTTTCTCCAGAAGAAAAAATATTATCAGACATAATGTGAAAATTTCCTTGCTCTGTTAAACATAATTTGGGAAATATTTTTTTTAAATTTGAATGAGGCTAATAATTCTGATTTTAACTGTATGTATATATATAATAGAAATGTATAAGTAGAAAGATGATAACAGGACTCTGCTGTGTGTGATGATGAGGTCATGTAATAATGAAGCTACAGCAAAAGAACCTGATTTGACAAGTGCAATGATTTCTTAAAAACGATTTGAGCTGTAATTTCATTTGCTCTACTTTTCTGTGAATTTCTCTGTTAATCAAGTCATTTAAACCACGAGTAAAGACATTCCACTCTTCATAAAGCATATTAAGTAAACCAAAAATGTGAGTTATGCAACGTTTGACTGCTGGACTTCCACTTTTTATTAGATGTCTTTAACTACTACATGCTTGTGTGAAAACAAATAAAAACAAACAAACTCATTTTGTTCATATGGTATTATAACATATTGTAGAACTTTATTTTACAGTTCTGTTTCGTATGAAGATACTTCTAACCCTAAACTCATATCTGACCTTAACCATTGCCCATTTAGTTTCCCTATATAACACAGTGTTTTCTAAATATACTAAATATGCTGTGAGTACAGTACAAGGTCTATACTTTTGCTCATATTTAGGGAGAATATGGTTAAACTTAGAGACAGGATTATGGTTAGGTTTAAACGTTGGTTATTAGGTTAAAGTCAACAGTCAAATTTGAGATGTAATTATATTTATAATTATCAGAACTTTATCAGAGTTTTTTTAATAAAATACTAATTATCAGAATGTAATAGAAATTATTCATGGATTCCAAAAGATTTAGAAAAATATATTAATCTAAAGGTAATCAACAAAATGTCATTTTGTTAAAATCCGGATGTCAAGAGCATGCATACAGTATTACACGTTCAGTCAGCAGTCATAGGCAAGATGGTAATAGCCAAAAAAAAAAAACAATGATAAACTATAGCCTAGGGACAGTGCCTCCTTCCAAAATCGCAAGTAGGTTTTTTTTTAATTACTTGCAAAATGAGTAAAAAAAAATTAAGGAGAAGAACAACACAATAGCAAAAAAACACACACACAAAAAAAAACATATGTACTGATTGTGTTCTAATACTGTATATAACATCCGCCATGCTGTTATTAGCTTTGTTTCTGTCTAAAGATTTGACTCATTCTTCTTATCAGTTTATTCATGTTAAGAAAAGTTTTATTTTTTTATTTTTTTTTTTAATTGGTGGTTCAATCCAGTTCACGTAAAATGTATGTGTTCAATAAGTACATTACTTCAAATTATTCATTTAAATGGTTAAACTTTGTAGTTAAAGATTAGTAATATAACATCTGTCCTATAAACAACATTTATTTAGCATCATCCCTTTTTTACAGAGATGTAATGCAGGTAAACAAAGAATAAAAACAAACTGTACCTAAATTGGATTTAGATAGATAGATAGATAGATAGATAGATAGATAGATAGATAGATAGATAGATAGATAGATAGATAGATAGATAGATAGATAGAGGGATGGACGGACGGACGGACAGACAGACAGACAGACGGACGGATGGACGGATGGACAGATAGATAGATAGACAGAGAGACGGATGGATGGATGAATGGACGGATAGATAGATAGATAGATAGATAGATAGATAGATAGATAGATAGATAGATAGATAGATAGATAGATAGATAGATAGATAGACAGAAAGACAGACGGACGGACGGACGGATAGACAGACGGATGGATGAATGGACGGATAGATAGATAGATAGATAGATAGATAGATAGATAGATAGATAGATAGATAGATAGATGGACAGACAGATAGACAGATGGGTGGATGGACGAAAGAAAGAAAGAAAGAAAGAAAGAAAGAAAGAAAGAAAGACCAGGTTGGACCAGGCTACATGTAGAGTGGATTATAGCTTATCGTTGCCCTCTAGTGGAGAAACTGCAGCAGTTTATCAAAAACGTAAAAAAAAAAAACTAAAAAAAAAGCTCAAACTGATATAAACACACATTACACCATGTTATAAATGTAAATACATTTATTCCATCAACAACTGTATAAATGTTTAAAATGGTACACATGATTGTTCTCAAAAACGATACAAACAATGATGTTATGTAGAATATATATAGTATATATTATGTTAGGTTATTTTTCATAAGAAAAAAGCATCCTTCTGCTGGTCTAATTCAATTTAAGACAACGATAAAAGAGCTTAAATAATTCATAAATCAAGGCATGTTAAATGGAAGAGCGTGCAACCGTAGTTCACACATTGTGAGTATGATGTAAACATTGTTAGGTAACCTTCTATTAGTTTGGGGCTTTTTGTCCCATTTCCCTCCAGCTCTTCCACAGCAGCAAGCCTTCACTTTTACCCTTGGTGACCAGAAATCGAGGTAGTTTATAACCGTTAAACTGGCCCACTCCGGCATCTTTGCCCATCGCAATCAGCATAGTCACATTACCTGATTGGAAACAAGATATTGGTCAATTACAGTAGATTGTTTTTTAAAAACTTGTTTGAATGTACATTAATATGCTATTAACAACTAACATTCCAGTGGAGTTACAATGGGCTTTAATTCATAATTCTATAGGAAATGGGAAGAAGAAAGCCAAGTTAAAGGGGCCCTATTATGCCCCTTTTTAATAGGTGTAAAATAAGTCTCTGGTGTCCCTAGACTGTGTATGTGAAGTTTAACTCAAAATATCACACAAATGTTTTATAATCCCCCTTTTAGACTTTGATCCAAACTAGAAATCTGCGCGGGACTAAATTTTGAATCCCGCTCCCGCCCGCACTCGCCAGGTTTTAGCCCGAACCCGACCGCTCCCGATTATATTAAGCACTTGTTGTCCCGCTGCCCGACCCGCCCCATTTTCTACCCGCCGCGCCCGATCCCGCAAAAGAGCGGGGGGAGAACAAAACCGAAAATCACCCAGCTATACAGTCCAGACAGCCTATAACAAGCTGTCTGTATAAACACACTCACACACACACACACAGCACCAAGCACACACACACAGACAAAGCTCTCTCGCGCTCTCTCTCTCTCTCTCATTCGCGTACACGCACTAAAGGCTGATTTATACTTCTGCGTCAAACACAGGCGTATGCTACGGCGCTGACGCATAGCCCTTCGCTGTGGCCGTCACTGACGTGCACCTCTCAAAAAATTTAACTACACGTCGCAACAACGCGTAGCGCAAGCTCTGTGATTGGTCGGCTTGGTAGCGCTGACGAGTCGGGGCGGGACTGAGAGCCGGGCGAATGGCGCGAACCCAATGTAGCGATTGTTTACAAGTGTGGAGTCCCGTGAAGGAGCTCCAGATGGAAAGTTTTGTTTTGTGTTTATCTCATAGTTAAAGTTGTTGCACGTCCGCCGGTTGCAGCCTCAAAATGAGCGAGTTTAAGCCACTTGTACATCCCGGAAGTGTTCAGGAAAAGCAAAAAAGCAGCGAAGAAACTCGACATAGAGGAACATTTACACCTCACTGCCAACTAGCGTTTCGGAAGTGTTAATGCAGACTAACAGAGACAGCGCGCAGAAGTATAAATGCACAGCCACGCGTGTTGCATGCGCCGTGGGTTACGCCGGTAACTTGACACAGAAGTATAAATTAGGCTTAACACACACACACACCTACACACACACCTACCTCCCATTCGCGTGTGCGCACACATACACACACACACACACACACAGCAACAAACAAGCTAAACACAGCATCGCGCTATTTCATTTACACACATACATTAGCGTGCTCGTTTGGGAGTCGGGAGCGATATTGACAGCCTGCTCCCCTCCCAAATTACACCCGTTACCGACCGCTCCCGTGATTTATTCGGAAATTTATACCCGCGCCGCAGAAATCTGGTCGGGTCCCATGCAGACCTCTAATCCAAACTGTGCTGTTTTGGATACTGTCGCTTTAAATTTAAATGAGATGCATATGTCGAAAGAAGGCGGAGCTATAAAAGCTATATATAATATAATAAAAGCTATATATAATCTTCGACAGGTACGGTCTGAAAACTCTAATAGCGGACAACTGCTTTTTACTTAATGAGGGAAAGATCATCACTGGTGGGCAGGACTCATGGCCCTTAAAGGCTTGTATTTGCACCAGCTCTACGCATTGGGTTAATATAGGTCCAGTCTCCATATTCAGTCCATTACTTCCACTGTATCTGTTCACCCTATTGAATGGAACCAACCATATATCTATTCCAAAATGGTGGCACCTTAACACTAAAAGCTTTAGTAAAACATGCCTTTTACTTTAAAACGGTTACATTAATTGAGTTTGTTTCATATAGACCTTTTTCATGGCTGCTGCATGGAGGGTGCAATAGCGACCAGCGTCTTCCGGTAGAATGCTAAAAACTTCTGTTTACAGCGTGTACAACTGGTAATTTGCGCTCCGAGAATGGGTTTCAATAACGTTTTTAATGGATAACAGAGTGTTTTTGTGACACACAACTTAGAAATGTGTCTGTTCAAGCCGTTATAATCTGTCACATGTGGTTCAAACGCGTCAGAAATACAAGAAAAACGTTCTCCTAGTTCACGTGTCTGCCGTCAGAAATACAGTGTGTGTGCTGTCCCGGCTTGTCAGCTGTTAGCTCAGCAGCTCTTTAACACACACACACACACACATACACACGCACACACACACACACAGAGAGAGAGAGCGCAAACCAGAGTACTGCCATGAAACTTAACAGGTTTGAAAGTCGTGCAATTTACAAAAATGACCAATAAAAGTCTGTTATTGATCCTCTGCTGGCTGATTTGCTGTTCATTCTAATCGCGAGTCGTTTGTGTTTTATTTCGTGTGTTGTTTTTACCACGGTTTGTGTTTTTCTGTCATTTCGAAATGACACTAGCCTATATTTTCACTTTGTCACAGTTATTAAATCAGTATGTCAGTGGCACAGTACAGGCTACGTGTGTGTGTCAAACATTTTAGTGAGTTACATTTGTTTGGGCTGGTTATATTTTTGAAATAAAGAGGAAACTGTTGACTTTAGCGATGACGAGGCTTCATTTAAACAGCAGAAGATGCCGTCTGGCAACGAGGGGAAAATGCCTCACAGCAGCTGTTTTCCATCCTATTAGATCGCATTTCTTTAAATGATCAGGCCAGGAGATGGTGCTGATGGACAACAGTATTAGTTCAAAGAGGATAAAAGCAGGTAAAATAGATTAAAACTATCGTTTCAAAGCTGTCCAAATGTGACTGTTTACACGCATCAGCTGCTGACCGGAAGTTCTTCGCATTCTCCTTGCGCATACACGCAAAGCATAATGGGTAATTTTGCATTCCAAGAAAAAGGTCTATACTGTCATTAACTTTGAAAGTAATTTACAAAATAATGTAAACTTTACTAACTGCTTCACTTCCACTTAAAGGCAAAACCCATTGCTTTATGGTTTGTACCTGTTTTGTATGAAGTCAAAGCCTTTCCTGACAGGCTGTTTATGATATTAGTGGCAGCTACTCCAGCATGAAGTCCAGCATGATATGCCATCTTGGGTTCACTGAGGTTGGCACAATCGCCCACAGCATACACATTGTCAAAACCTTCCACTTGCAAGTGCTTGTTCACCTTCAGAGCACCGTTCTCTGCCAGACATGAACCTGAAAGATGAAAACAAATCAAATATAAACATAGACCGTGTTAAAGAGGGTGAAGATCAACCAATTAAATGAGATTATATGAGGGCACGACTGCTGAAAGCCAACAAATATAGTGATATAATGTGATTTATGAGCAATATCACACGAGAAGCAGTGTGCTATGGCTGTATATCAGCACTGGTGGGAGGCGTGTGTTGGCACGTTGCCAACGTTACCACCCCAACGTTATCACCAGTGCTGATATACAGCCATAGCACACTGCTACGAGTGTGATATTGC